AAAACAAAAAACAAAACAAAACAAAAAAACAAAACAAAAAGAAAGAAAAGAAATGGAAGGAAAAGTAGCCAATAATGGAAAACTAGATTTCCTATTAAAATAAACAAAAAAGCGAACAAACAGGGACCAGATGTCTGGCTTCCTCACTAGCTGGAAGACTCCACTGCTGAGCTGTGCCTTCTTTCTTGCTTTGATAGTCTGGGAGCCCACAGCTGCCCTTCTCACTGGAGGGGTCATGTGCATGAGTAAGACCACACTCCCCAGCACTCCCTTTTATCTTCCACCTATGGTTTTACCCATCTCTGCTTGTGTCCTGGACCTCATTATGCTTTTATGACCCCTACAATATAGTTTCTCTAGCCTGCCAGGCCTTCTCTGTGTGTTCAAGCTGACAGGGTTGATACTAGTTTCCAGTCTACCCCCAATGATGTCAGCAACTGCTGATCTGAACCCTCATGAACTTGGCTGTAAATGGTGTCTTCTTTATGCTCCACACTTTGTGGCCATTGACTGCTCTTCTCAATATGGAGGTCACAGTTTCAATCAAATCCTCTTATGTGAAAACCAGGCAACCACAAGAAGGCATGTTCCTCAAACATCCAGGCATATATCCAAAATAGCAACAAACCCCTTTGGAATGTGTGTGCATGTGCGTACCTGTGTGTGAGCATGCATGCCCACTCTGTGTGTGTGTGTGTGTGTGTGTGTGTGTGATTTGTGTGACTGTGTTTATACCGTCTAAACTCAATTTCAATTTATAAAGTTAAACCAACATTGAGAAATTAAACCAGGAAGCCTGATCTCCATCACAAAAGACCTTGAGGAAGGGAAGAAACAAAACAAAACAAAACAAAAATAAACGGCTGTATCACTAGAGGAAGAGGGCATAGGGAGTTGTCCCCTTCCTAAAAAAAAACAAAAAAACAAAAAAACGGCTGTATCACTAGAGGAAGAGGGCATAGGGAGTTGTCCCCTTCCTTCTCAGAGACTATAGCTTCCGACATAGCCCAGGAAGTAGGCTTTGGGAGGGGGTAGTTTCTTCCCATAAGGGATGCCCAACTCTCCTCTCAGCCTTCCAGACTGCCCATGGCATCTTGCTTCTGCAGACTGCAGACTTTAAGGTTCCCAGAGATGATGGCTCTGTGTTTTCAAAACCTTCAGGCAGCCACCTCCCAAGGGTATTGTTTTACCCATGGCCTCCAACAAACACATTGTTTTCAGCAGGAAGACACCAACAAATAAGGACTTAATCCATTTTCCATAGGAAAACACATTTTTTTAAATTATGCTGAACTTGTTTTAAATTTTCCATTTTTTCAAAACTAAAAGCAATATCTGGGAAAATTATTCTCTGGGTCCAAAACAGAGGAAATAAATACCAAATTAGCTGTGGTGAGTGAGGAAGGAGCTCAGGGGATACAAAGTCAGTTTTGCCATTTCTAACTAGTTCCAGTATGGAAAATGTCATGGAGTGTCATTGGGTCAGATAGACCTTGTCTTATAATCTGTGGCTCCCAGGGACCTCCCAGGACAGAATACACATATCTCTAGCAGAAGGGGGGTTAAGGGGGTACTCCCAGAGATTCCGTAGTCCCAGGCATTGAGAGAATGGGGCTCTAGGCTCATGGTTCCCATGGATCTGTAAAACCAGTTTAAATCCTATGGGTTTTTAGAGAAGCTACCTGATGGCTCCAGGACAAGCACAGACAGTAGCTACCTCCTGAGCTCTTCTGGCTGCATCTGACCTCACCTCTCCTCCTATGATCAATCAATCTTGGAAGAATTCTGTCTTCCTGTGCCAGAGATAGCTTGTGCTCATACTTAAACTTGTCATGAGAAGCCTGGTGTAGGGCAACTGAGTGGACCTAGAGTTTTACACTCAGCACACTTCTCCCTCCCTAAGCCATAAGACTATCACTTCCTTGTCCAGGGGTGAGGGGTCAGGATAAGGGGGGTTCTCAAGCATTCCAACACTTTTGAATTTAGAGGGACAGATGAGACCAACATCCTGTGTAAGCAAAAGGGAGGTTCCAGTCAGCCACATGGATCAACTTCCTGACAGTGACCGCACTGTTTGAAACTGTGCCATGGTGTCTAACCCCCCTGCTTTGTTCTAAGAACCAGAAGGATGTAGGGTAGACACTGAGAGATAGAAACAGTGAAATGAGAGACAAAGGCAGGCAGACTAGGGAAGATAGGGAAAGGGGAGCCTTTTGTGAATAAAGGCAATTTTAGTTAGTAAGATAACATAATTGACAAGCTGCAAAAAACAGCACCTACTAATTAGTCATTGACTAAAACATATAAATAATAAATACCAAGGGTCCCTTCTCTATGCCCATCATGTTGGATAGGGAGGGGCTGTGCACTAGATGCATTATCAAGGTGGGCTTCAGTACCTTCCTATCCATGCTGGGAGAGATACAAGGATGGGTGAAATTTTGCCAGAGAACTTTGTCTTTTGGGGTACTCAATGAGGAAGGGGATACTCTTCCTCAATGCCCTCCTCAGAACACACATGGCAAGGAAACCCTTGGGTTTCTGGTAACTCAAGCAATATGAATAACACTATTTTTTTGAACCACCTTCCCACTTTTGAAACTCAAACTTCCTTTTATGTGGTGTAGCCAGACTGAGCCTATTGGCACCCTAGGCAAGGAAGGGTATGATATTAAGGACCCAATCTGAAATGTTTGTTCCTGGGTGAGAGAAGTCTTATCAATACAGTTTGGTCACAGCCAACAGCACCAAGTGCACAGTACACAAAGGCTTGGGGTACCTGACCTTAGAACAGAAGGGGTGGTTCTGTGATACCATCCAGCTTAGAAGCTTGGTCCAAGTAATCCCCCTTTGAGAGTCAGAGCCTTGCTTCTTCACTGCTTCCCTTTCAAGTACCAAAGAGGCCACAGTAGCTGTCTCCCTGCCTAGGGGCAGGTAAGAGAATTGAAACTCCGGCTCTGTATGTTTTACCCTGTTCCTGCTACCATTTGTGACAACCTTGGAAGAGGCTGACCTGGACAGATGGCAAGTTGGCAATCACATGTCTGGGGAACCATGGCCACTTTCATCAAAAGGCTTTCCCGAACCTCTGGTTTGCACTGAAAACAGCTCACTGAGCAGCAACAGGAACTTTGGAATTGTCCCACATCTCGACCGCCCTGGGAAGGCCAGGAATGTGGCCTCCAGGAGCTTGCTACTTTTAGCATGGGCACAAGGTTTCCCAGCCACAGAAATCAAGAGATAAATGAAAGGGCTGGGATGGAGATCCCACCCTTGGTCAGGGCAGTGCTTATCAAACTGGCTTAAACAGAGCCCTTGGGTTTGGAAGAGGTACCTTAGAGATGCCCTTGGCAAAAGGACCACCTCACACGCCTCAGCTTCATCCAGAGCAGCCTGGATTTCATCCTGGTCTTACACTTCCACCTCTGACTGTGCTGAATAAACAGAGTTCTGCTGCTCAAAAAAAAGTTTGAAACTCACTTGGAGGGACAAGTGTAGGCCATCGGAGGGAGAGAACAGGAACCTGCAGAACCCAGAAGCGGCCATAGAGGGGAGACCACTATGGCCCTGGGACTGAGTCACCTACTCCAGAGGCCAGCTTGACAAATACAGGCTGACTCTTCTCTGGCCTCCAAACCCTCTCTTCATCATTCTACAGTCAGCAGAGATCCTTGTACAAAAGGCAACCCCCAAACAAGGTCAGAGGCCGGGATTGAGGCTCCCTTGGTCCCATGTGGCCATTGCTACCTGAGCCGGCCATCAGGCTTGACTGCACCCAGCTCTGATTTGGGGTCAGGGCTGAAGGAGCTCCAGGCTGTCTGGCTACAGGTCTGCATCACTGGGCAGGCGGTGGGACCTGTGGCACAGATGTCCATGGCAGTCCAGGTCCCACCCACCAGAGAGTCCAGCCAGGCTTCTAGTGCTGTCCCAGTGGAGGCTGCATTCTTCCGGGCCTGCTCCACTTGGGCAGGATTGATGGGCAGGCTGAGGACGGGGTTCAGGCTCTGGAAACTCTGTTCCATGTAGGCACTGCGAGGTGGGCCATTGTGCAGCTTCAATGCCTCCTCTGAAAGCCAAAAGAAACAACGGTGTGTTTAGTAGAAGAGCCATCAACCAGGTATGTACTTAACTGTGAACGGGTGTAGCAAGGCACACTGGGCATCAGCTCACTGAATTCACGTGATGGTCTCATGTGTGCAGGGCGTGGCAATTTACTTATGGGCCATCTTCAGTGGTCCTGGCATTTATTGATTAAACAATACATTCTTTAAAGATTTGTTACTTTTATTTGTGTGTAGTGTTTGTGTGTGTGTGTGCATGTGTATGTGTGTGTGTGTGTGTGTGTGTGTGTATGTGTGTGGAGGTTTGCTTCTCCCAGGGCAAGTGCCCTTGCCACTGAGACAGGTCTTTTACTCAATCTGCCCCTCATCTGTCCAGTTATGATGTTTAGTGGTGAGCTCAAGGGATCTGCCTGCTCAGGATTCAGCAATGAAGTCATAGGTGCACGTCTCTACACCTGGCTTTTTATACAGGTGCTGAGGATACAAACTCAGGCCCCCATGTGATGGGGGAAATACTTCTGTGTATGTTTATCTTATTGATTGTTAAATAAAATACTGTTTGGCCAATGAGACAGCAAATTAGACGGGACTAGGAGTCAAAGAGGATTCTGGGAAATGTAGTAGATTAAATGGTGATCCAGGCAGGAAGTGACATAGCAAGGAGACTCATATTTCAAGAAGGAGAAACAGGAAGAGTCCCTCTTTTCCCCTCCACTCCTGCTCTAGCGACACAATGTGATCCACCGGCAAGGAGGGATGCCAATAAGGCGTCCGATAAGATAAGTCTTATAAAATATATAGATTTATGAATATTAAGACTGAGCTAACAGATGAGGAATTCTAGTCATTGGCCAAGCAGCTTTGACCCTAATAGAAGTTTCTGTGTATTCATTTGGGCCTAACTCAGGCGGGCAGCTGGCGTAAAGCTCACACGTGGCGGTGGGGCTTGGCGGCTTTTGGTGGAAAGATTTATCGTAACACCCATGCATGGTAACAAGCATGTCACAGACTAAGCTACCTGCCTGGTCTCTCAACATTTAATTTTTAGCATCTTCTTTGTACTAAACCTCTTTGATATGAAAGGAGATAGGTGATTTACTTCTTGGATACAGATATGCTAAAGGTAGTGACCAGCTTCGGTGTTAGATGGTGGGATGAACCAGATAGCCAGAGAGGTGGGGATACAGTGACATCCAAATATACCAGGTTCAGAGTAGAGAAAGACTGTCAATGATAAGGAAATAAATGAGTGGGCAATGAAGACCATTCAAGCAGTGATAAATGTCACAAAGGTGATGAACAGGGAAATGAGCACAGTATGGGCCAAATTCAGTACACCATCTGTTTTCATAAAGTTTCATAGGAACAGAGCTCTGCTTGCTTGCTGATCTATCCACTAAGGCTCTGGTGTGCTAGTGGAAGCGTGTAGTGTGGGTCAGCTCCTGAAAAGCTGAAGATATTCACTACATATGATTTATGGGAAATGTTTACTATGCTATGGTTTAAAGACTGGTCTGAGATGGGCAGGGAAGACTTTTCTGAGGAGGTGACATTTCAATGAAGTGTTGATTGACAAGTCTAAGGCTAGATAGTGGAGAATTCCAGGAAGAGGGAAAAGCAAGTGTGAAGCCTCATTACCAAATCACACAAGTAATTATTGTTGGAGCAGAACATGAACACAAGCCTGTTGGCCTTAATGCCAAGGCACAGCTGCCAAGTGACTGCCATGAACTCTGGAGAAGCTGCAGATTCTTGTTTTCCTGGTGGCCTGGTCCAAAGCAAAGTGGTCCTTGGAAGCATGTAGTGTGGGTCAGAGTGGTGTGGGCGTCCTCTTTACAATCTTACTTGTTAATCACCTTCTGGATGCTAGCCTTTCTGCCTGTGGGATCTAGTTGGGCTGAATGGCCTCAGTACCTACATCCCACATACAAAGTGTGTGACTTCTTGGCGGCTTTTGGTGGAAAGATTTATCGTAACACCCATGCATGGTAACAAGCATGTCACAGACTAAGCTACCTGCCTGGTCTCTCAACATTTAATTTTTAGCATCTTCTTTGTACTAAACCTCTTTGATATGAAAGGAGATAGGTGATTTACTTCTTGGATACAGATATGCTAAAGGTAGTGACCAGCTTCGGTGTTAGATGGTGGGATGAACCAGATAGCCAGAGAGGTGGGGATACAGTGACATCCAAATATACCAGGTTCAGAGTAGAGAAAGACTGTCAATGATAAGGAAATAAATGAGTGGGCAATGAAGACCATTCAAGCAGTGATAAATGTCACAAAGGTGATGAACAGGGAAATGAGCACAGTATGGGCCAAATTCAGTACACCATCTGTTTTCATAAAGTTTCATAGGAACAGAGCTCTGCTTGCTTGCTGATCTATCCACTAAGGCTCTGGTGTGCTAGTGGAAGCGTGTAGTGTGGGTCAGCTCCTGAAAAGCTGAAGATATTCACTACATATGATTTATGGGAAATGTTTACTATGCTATGGTTTAAAGACTGGTCTGAGATGGGCAGGGAAGACTTTTCTGAGGAGGTGACATTTCAATGAAGTGTTGATTGACAAGTCTAAGGCTAGATAGTGGAGAATTCCAGGAAGAGGGAAAAGCAAGTGTGAAGCCTCATTACCAAATCACACAAGTAATTATTGTTGGAGCAGAACATGAACACAAGCCTGTTGGCCTTAATGCCAAGGCACAGCTGCCAAGTGACTGCCATGAACTCTGGAGAAGCTGCAGATTCTTGTTTTCCTGGTGGCCTGGTCCAAAGCAAAGTGGTCCTTGGAAGCATGTAGTGTGGGTCAGAGTGGTGTGGGCGTCCTCTTTACAATCTTACTTGTTAATCACCTTCTGGATGCTAGCCTTTCTGCCTGTGGGATCTAGTTGGGCTGAATGGCCTCAGTACCTACATCCCACATACAAAGTGTGTGACTTCTGACTTGTGTCCTAGTTTCCACACTGGTAAGATGCAGGGGGTGGGGGAATGTGCCTCCCGTGTAACTCTGGGGGCAATACATTGGCTCATAAAGTTCTGCCAGTGGTGCTGAAGGTAAGTTCTGCACTATTTTTGGTTCTTATTAGTTCATGATCCTCTCATTCTGAAAATGATAGGGCTGTTTTATCTTATTTATTTTATAGATGATGAAACAGATGCTACAGTCAGTTCAATCAAGAGTGGTCTGATTCCCAAGTTGTGCTGTCCACCATGATGCTTTATATAGGTTCAACCACAAGCTCACAGTTCAGGCAGGGTTGCTATCTTTTCATCTTGGCACCAACCTTATGAGCATGTTGTCCCCATATGACAAATAGGACACTCAATCTGGCACCAGTTAGTTAAACCCATAGGAGGCTTGGTTACAAGTTCACAGAGTTTGTCATCAAAGTGAGGGACACACAAGAGGACTGCTGCATCTTCTTAGGGCCAAAGGAAGGACAAAAAAATGGTAAGAGTCTGGGGTGAAGGAGCAAACAAAGTGTTTCCTATTTGAAGAGGTTCCTATTCTTGGTCAAATGAAATTTCAACAAATTAGGTTTTGGTCACAGCCAGGATACTGGAACACAGGGGTGGTAGCACCATCAGGATGTGCTAGGAGAAGATTGCCTTCTGTCTTTGGTGCATGTCCTGATTTCTCTGTGAGAGTCTCTGTGCTTCTACACTGCAGAGGTGGGAACAAGTAATGGAGAGATGCCCAGGCTGACAAATGGCAGGACAATCCAAAGCAAAAGGAACAGCTAACAGACATTGAATGTTGGGAGCAAAATGCTGTGGTTGATATAGAAAAAAAAATACACTATGAGGAATGAGGTTAATGTGGGAAATGGCATTACGGCATCAGCTCGGATGCTTGCCTCCATAATTAAATTTTCCTCAATTCCACCTCATCAGATTTCTTGAGATTACCAGGGATGCAACAATAGCAAATTACTCAAGATAATCATTTCTCAAATTGCATTACTCCCACCTCAGTGTTCCTTGTCTCATTAACAAATACAATTACTGCCAACAGGGGAACTGCTTCCGCTGGGGTAAAACTGACCCCAAGGTCTTTCTGGGAATGGTGGGAACAGCTCCCAACTCCTTGGGAATCACAGAAGAAGAAAAATGGAGAGACCAGGACCATGAGCAGGGACCTGGGCTTCTTTCTTGGAGTGGGTGGATTCAGAGCACTCTTTGTGCTGTCCTACAGCTGTACCTGAGGCAGGGAGGATGTGTGATTCCTACCTCTCTTCCTCATACTTGGTGCTTAGATCTTTAAGGCTGTAAAGGCTGCCCCAACAAGGGGCACTTGAAGACATTAAGTAGTTGGGCTCTGCTTGGCTAATTCTGGAGCAGAGGCCCAGGTTTCAATCTATTGGCTTGTTCAGCACGAAGACTTAGCAGAAACTATCAGAATTCATGCTAAGACCCTATTTTCAGGACCGCAGGCACCCATCCCATATCTGTCTTCCTGGTCCTCGTTATCAGCACAGCACTTGGTGCCTGCCAAGAATGCTTCCCACTTAACGGGACTGTCGTGTGTATCCAGCTCCTGGACTTGTGTTGTGTAATATGCAGATGGATAGCCCAGATACTGATCCCTCTCTGTATCTCGGGGATGCTCCTGCAGAAAACAGTGTATGTGTTGGCCATGCCCACATTCCTTCTCTTGTCACCAACCCTTAAGCAACATGCCACAGCTGTGTGCATATATCCATATTGTATTAGGCATCAAGAGCCATCTAGAGATGACCCACCATAAATGGGAGAATGTGCATAGGTTATGTGCAAATGCTATGCCCCCCTTTTTAATAAGGGACTGATATATTGGTAGTTTTTATGATCAAGGAAGAGTCTGGAACCAATTTTTTATAGACACTGAGGGGTATTTGTACTGGGAGACTCAGAAATCCTGTTTCTATGAGTCTGTCTTATGAGCCTGGGCACATATAATTTCATGTTCCAGAATCTTCCTTGTAGCACTCTCTGCAACAATGCCATCATCAGACAGCAGAAGGTACTATGTCCAGTAAGGAACAGCCTGTGGCTCTTTAATTGTGGAATCTCTGTGGCTGGCAACTTGCACACATGAACTGAGAAAGCTACAATTCCTGTTTGGTACAGAATGTACTGTGGCATTCTAACCTTGTTCTTGTGCATTAGGACACACTCCTGTGCTTATGATTTAAAACATTGGAAGGGCTGTTAGAAAGATGCATTTCAACTGTCCATAGTGGTCACACCTGAAGGGTAAGAGTGTAGCCAAAACAAACAAATAAAAAAACCCTCCCCCAAGATTTAATTGACAAAAGAAAGTGAAGGAAAAATAGAAATACAAGTGTAAGCCCTTTGCCTAGAATAAAAATAAGTGGGCCATTTGGGTCCAGTGTCCCTTTCTCTGTCCCCTGTTTACATTAGAAGTAATGGCCAGAGGTGTATGTTAGCAATGGCCTTCTTTCCGTTTTAGCTTCCTGCTGAGACATGAGTCCTGAAATAATTAATATATTATTGACTTTCCTGGTTTTGAACCTTAAGTGTCATAATCCTAAGTATGGCTTCTTCTGTGATAAGTTTTCCCCATCTGTCATGTTTTACAGTTGCATGTGGCTAGCCTTTCCTGCTGTCTGCACTACATGGGACTCCACTGTGTAAGCAGACTACACACTGCCCTTTTGTGTGGGGGAACTTGTGAACTGTTTGTGGTCTTGTGTTACTATGAACAATTTTGTTATGATTCCCCCTTTGTTTCTTCTTGGGCCTACACAGGAGTGTGGGACTTCTGGGTGGTAGGTGTGTGTATGTTCAATATGAGGAGAAGGGGTTCATCCATCCCACAAATGAATCCCACATATTCATCTCTCAGGACCCTAGGCTATATGCCCATGCAACTCTGAGCTGCCCTACAACACTGTCCAGCCATCACATTTATCTCCCATTTTGGAACTTCTTCTTGCTCCTAATTTTCATTATTATCTCTCATTTTTAACAAGGGTAAAGTTTTAAAAAAATATACATATTAATTATATACATATGCATGTACATAATACTTATAAATTCATTTTTTTTCTTTTTCATTTCCTCTCTCTTTTATAGCTGCCAATGGCAGTTACCATCTTCAGAGAATAAATGACTTTGATTTTCAAGCCACACAGTCTCTGTCCCAACTGTTGGAGCCTGCCACCGATGCCCCAAGCAGATATAGGTACTGTGTCACAAGTGCTCATGACCATGTTCCTGTGAGATGTTGTTTACAAAGGCCGAAAGTAGTCATATTTGAATGGAGCTCATAGTCTGCCAAATTCTTGTTGACGGGATTTTTTTAGTGTGTATTTTGGGGAGCAAATATCTTCCACCAGTATGTGGCTTCTCCTTTGTACTTAGGGATTCACATTTTCTATGAGCCAAATTCCAACAGTAATTATTATTTTCTAAACAGCCAAGAAGCCACGCTAAAACTCAGCGGTATCTAGGATTAGTCCCCATCTTGTCTTAAATATCAGCAAAGCCCTGTGGAAGTCCAGTAGGCCCACAGCTGATAAATACCCACACAGATGGCATTGTCTCTCTGCACAGGGAGGGAATGAACCAGTTCTGTAGGGTAAACAAGTAGGGAAAAATCCCCAATGAGGAAGCTTTGCTCTTTGCAAGGCAGCCTCATGTTGCACGAGGCTGGACACTCTCCTCCCCAAGGATCCTGAGAGTACTCACCTGCTTTGATGGGCTGCTTGTTGGAGAAGGTCAGAGGTGCGACAAGGAATTTGGTCTCTGCAACTGGAACCCAGTGATGGAGAATTTTTACTGTCCAGACCCCAGGCCTCAGAGGCAGATTCAAAGGGGGTTTGTAGTGTGTAAATTCTGCAGTGGATTCAATCAGGATATCATAGGTGGCTGCAATGACGTTGACAGGATCCACCCAAATAACAGTGACAGTCACATTGGGCCCCTTTCCCCATTTCTGCATCCCCACAGGTTCATCCATGGGCCCCATGAGACCGCCGAAGTTCCGGAATAGCCTCTCCTTGGCATCCCAATCAGTGCCAACCTGAAACAGGAGAACAAATCCTGAAACCATTGAGTCCCAAGAAGATTGTACATAAGGAGACTGAGGTTCCAAGCCACCTTGGACTAAAGGTTACACAGCTGATAAGCAGAAGTCATGAACTTCTGCTGAGATTGGGACTCGAAGGCCCACAAGTCTCCCGTTAAATCAGCACTCCTTTGTGCCAAATCCATGCTGCATGCTTTGACTCAAACCCTAAAACCAATGTACTGAATGCAAGTGTGAATAATCACTATCCTGCATACCATTCCAAGTAATAGCCTGCCACTCAGCTGGTAAGGCTGGGTTCCTCTCAGGCCTCTGGTTTTACAAGTGGCACACTTGAATTTGCTGTGCCCCTTCTGTGTAAGGCTGGAGGCCTGGCTTTGGAGCAACCTACCAGAAGCTTGGAAACAAGAGCCCTGCAACCTGTATCACTGCAGGAGGGAGATCTGGCTTTGGCTTCTCCAGAGCACCCCGGAGATGGGACATGTCCTACATCCATGCTTCCCGTGCACCAGCTGGGAGGCTGCATGGTAAGACTCTTGGCTTTCTTCCTTCCACTCTGCCACCTTCAAGCCACTCTGTATTCAGGAATCAGAGAGCTGTCACATGCTGCTTCACTGCTCAGGGCTTCTTACTGTCCCTGGGTCTGAGCTAATCCCTCACTGGTCCCCAGTTGTTGTTCCTTCCCTCCACCATCATCTATCTATCCTGCTCAATCTGTGCCTTCTTCCAGCCCTTTTAACTTCCCAAGCCACCCTCCACCCATCTCTGAATGGAATGTCCTACCTCCTTACACCTTTGCATAGCCAACCCCATATCTGAAAAGTTTACTTAGGACTCCCTGAATACCTTAACACATCATACCCACCCCCTGCTGTAATGTAAGCCCCATGAGAAGAGAGCCTGCTCCCAACTCTTCTATAGTTCCCCTAAGAGGGCTGAGCACATAGTAGGTGCTCAAGCAATATTTGCCCAATAAGTAAGTAAATTGCTTGGCCAAAAAGTGAATTAGCCACATAGAACCTTGATGCTGAGCTAAGTTGATGATTTAAATCAAACTAAATGATGGGGTCTTCTTACTAAAAACCAAAGTGGGGGATGCTCCCTAAGAGGAGTGACTCAGTGTTTCTGAAGTGACAGCACACAGCCATGTTAGCGGCAGATACTGAACACAATGTAAAGCTTTTCTCTCTCTCTCTCTCTCTCTCTCTCTCTCTCTCTCTCTCTCGTGTGTGTGTGTGTGTGTGTGTGTGTGTGTGTGTGTGTGTGTGTGTGTGTGTGTGCATTCTTCATGTGTGCAGGTTAAGGTGAAGGTGTGGCTATACAAGTCTTCTAGAGAAGTTTCTGTACTTGCACAGCAAACAGTGGCTGAATTCTTTTCTCTGTGTTCTTTGCTGGAATTACTATGACCACTCTTCATCTAGGACACATAGTTTCACAGTCAACACTGAAAGTTCACATTGGCCAAGTATGAGGTGAAGCATCTGTGTGCACCTGCTCATGTGATATTCTCATCTGTAAAGAGGAAAACTTTGCCACTATTTTTACTGTGCCCATGAAACTGATGCTCAGAGTCAATTATTTTCTGTGGGAGTCCAAGAAGTCTATCAGTAATGTGGTCATCTATTTGTCTCTCCATCCATCCATCCATTTCCTGTCAACATGTACTACCTATCAATTATTTATCTCACAGTATCTATATCCCATGAAACAGTATCTCATGTATATATTACTCTGTATATCATCAACCAAGAAATCCATCCATCCATCCACCTACCTACCTATGTAGCTACCTACTTCAAACTTGAGCACATACTTAATGATCAGGATTGAGCAGATGGACTTTTCTATATATCTATATTCTGGATACCCATTCTTGTAACATTACTAACAAAAAGGAAAAATGGCCACAAAGTCATGCTGGGGTAATACAGAATGAATTTGTAACTACTCAGGCAAATCTTTAGAGCATTTCTCTTGTATTTTCTATAGGAATGGAGGTGGACAATTACCTTGAAATCTGTGTTCTCAAACAGAGTCACTTAAGCTGGAGAATGTGGATCAGTTTGCAAAAAATTGGGTCTTGACTTAAACTGAGGAGCATTGAGAATGCCACGTGCCCCCAGCCCAAAGTGTGAGGAGAGGGAGTCACCCTCTCATGTAGTCCTATTTCTGTCACATCAGTTATGTCTGTTACCTTCCACTTGGCCTTAGTGTGGAAGTCTACAATCATTCATGGAAAAATGGGCTATTGCAGAAGTTTAAATAAATGTTCAATAAATGCTTCCTAGCTTCTAACCCCATCATCTTCAGCCACAACCTTGACCACTCTCCATCTTGTTCAGCATGCTCTGGCCACACTGGCCTTGTTTCTTCTTTAGCATGCCAAGCTTCTGCCCAGAATCTCAGGACACCTGCTTAAGCTCTGTTCTCCACTCAGAATGTTCTAGATCATTCCATGGATGGGATGGCTGTTTTACAAGTTTCAGTTTGAACGAATCTATTTTTAAAAGCCTTCCAGAAGAAACCATCCTATCAGAGATCGCCTCCTCCAGCCTCCTGAGCCTGAGCAAGCACATGAATAGGTTTCCTTTTGTTTTGAAATACTCACCATTAGATGCACTGTTTTTTTTTTTCTTCACTCACTACTTGTCTGCCTGCCCCAGAAGAATTCAGTTCCTTTACAATAGACATCTTGTCTGGTTCACTGCTGTCTCTCATGGCTCTAGCATATTGTAGGTCCTTGGTGAGCACCCTTTTCTCCAATCAATGGCATGGGCCATCATATTAGAGAAAGCTATTTAAGTTGACCATTGCCACTATATAAGATCCTGAGGCTATGCTAATATCAAGAGTGCCCTTAATAGTTTATAAGAGGCTGTGTAGGCCTTCCTTCCTTCTTAACTCGATACCTTTGCCATTAAACAAACATGACTAGAAAAGTTCTACATACAAGGTTGGGGCCTCTGCCTCCCATACCTGCATTGTTGATGGCAAAATTGTTGGTCCTCTCACCAGAGGTTCAGGACCCATCGTGAAAACACTCACAAATCACTAGACACACAATACCCAACAAATTCTTGCCACTGCCAGAGGTACTCAGTGACCCAATAGCAGTCTGATAAACAGGGAAAGCCCAGACACCAGGCATTCATCTCTTTAATGGGATGTTAATGTCTTCAATGGGCTGCTTGGGACCCCAGAACAGAATCCAACTGGAGCAGCATCTAATTGCCCTGCTGACTCCAGTAATTCATGGAGCTGACTGCCATAGCATCTCAGAGCCAGTCAATTCCCATGGGACCTTCTTTAAAAACAAGAGTTTCCAGGAAGCTCATCCATGCTTGTTTGACAGAATGTATTTAGTCATGGGGCAAAGCAAAGAGACAGGCCCACCGTCAGTGAGTGGAGAGGGACCGGCAAGGAAACATATGCAGGTGAGATCTCTCCTCTCATATTCCCAAACCCTCAAGTTCCTGCATATCAAAAGTCACTCTTCAACCTTAACCTGGCACTCAAACTCATTTGTGTGAGTCATGAAGCCCAAACTCCATCATACTTTCTCTTCCTTTCAGCATTTCACAGCCCCAGTGACAGTCACATGCATTTAGCAGTATTCAGCATCTACTAATGACACAGCTCTTTTACCAATGGTATGTGCAGAGGGTGCAGCAGTGGGTGACAGATAGAGGTTCATCCATCCATCCATCCATCCATTCGTCCATCCATTCATCATCAATCCATCTTGTAGCCTACATGTACATTCATCTACTTATGTGTCCATTTGTCATCTATCTGTTCATCTATGCATCTGTCTGTCCATCCATATACCAAGCATCATCCTTCATCAACCATCCTATTGCCTACACTTCCATCATTTATCTGTCTGTCCATCTGTTACCCATCAATCCATCTGTCCGTTCATGCACCCACCTATACTCCCATTTGTTTGACAGTCCATCTAATTACTAAACAGCTCTATCCATCCATCTAGCTACTCATTCATTTACATGGCCACAAGCCCACCTACTCCTAAAGTTTAGGAGCTAGCCCCTGTGTTAGGAACAAGGGGGAAATAGTATAAAATGAGGCTTGGAATTTGTGACCAGTGGGATGTGGAATCAATTCTGTGATTTTCCATGTCTTAGCAGTTATTTAGAAAATAGTTGGATGTCTACAATCCCCACCCAATCCATAAAATGGTACCAATGCCATTACTTCATGAGGAAATCTGCCTTGTTACTGGCTTACTACTAAAACAGGCTTAGTAGAAATAAATGCATGGGATGCAAAAGTAAGAGAAGAAAATTTACCATAAAACAATAGACCATCTTTCTAGGCTGATTCTGTTCAAAGACACTGACACACTACCATATCTCTCTGTTGGCATTTGTTTATGATGCTGGTTACAGTATATGTGACGGGGAAATTGTCTCTAGGAAGAATATAAGCTCATCTTAAGGCTCTACAAACACCCTCTTCCTCAAGTTCCAACTTTTAAGTGCCAGCCTGACAAGACAGCTTCAGAAGACAATCAGATTGACACTGTTTGGCCTCTTACCTCTGAAAACTGAAGCCTCCCAAAGTCACTGGGGGGACTTGCAATCTTGAAGACTTTCTTTGGCATCATCCATGTCTCCAGTGTCTCTAGTTTGCTCACCGCAAGGTTAGTCACATGGTGCTTGATTAGAAAGCCCTGGAAACGGTCAGCAAGGAAGTAGAGATGGACAGATGCTGGGTGGCCCATTGGGTAGTACCTAAAAACACAGGATCGGGATATGAGATGTGCAGTGTTACCATGAGGCTCCCACACTTCACAGTGGTCTAGTTCCTAAAATAGGCCCTATTTACCCAACACTTAACCATAATCTGCATCAGTCTGAAAGCTGCTATCTATGAACTTAGGGTCTAAGTAGTTGCAAATATTTTTAACCAAGTAATAAATGTAAAGCATGCTGACTGTAGGAAAGTACAGTAAAGACAAGAAATTGCTGCTTTTGATGCCTCTTCCCATTAATAACACCAATTCACAGGTATCTATTGAGAGCTGGGTACCAGAAAGTGAAATGATGCCCAAATATTTCTGTGGGTGCCTTTTCTTGTATCCTCATTTTCTATGTATGTATTTGCATACATGTTACCTAGTGGGCTGGCTAATATGTGTGTGTGAAAGTGTAGGTGCATGCATGGATGCCATTCATTAGATGTCTTCCACCTTGCTTTTAGAGGCAGGTTCTATCATTGACCTGTAGTTTGTCAAGCAGGCTAGATTAGTGAGCCCCAGAGACCTTCCCAGTGGTGGGATAACAAAGCACCTGCCACTATGTCTGGCTTTTCAAATGTGGGTTCTGAAAAATCGAACTTCTGTTCTCACACTCAGATGGCAAGCACTTTACTGACAGAGCCAGCTCCCCAGGCCTATGAATATTAGGAAGCTTGAATCATAACACAGATGTGATGCTTAGCACTCTTATATCTCTGAAAATAAGATTGTGTGTGTCTGTGTGGATAAGAGTGTGTCATGGAACATGGTATTTTGTAGAACCAGTGATCTATTGATGGATAATAATAGACTGTAAAATATTTGTTATTCTTTTGGAATTCATATTCATCCACGCCCCCCCCCCACATGTCTAAAACTCTTTTTATCTGGTACCCAAGTTTGTCAGAAACACTGATCTATCTTCTTGTTGTTGTCTTCCTTAAGTGGGTGTTGATGAACCCACAGTGTTTTTCTTTTTCTAAAAATCACTGCCAACACACACTTCAAACACCCAGCCTTCCAGAGTAAGCTTGTTTTAAATTGCATGCCTTTGGTCCGCACAGGTTTGCTGGCTAGATAGGGCTGGAAAGCTTAACACAGAAGAGGAGGAAGTGGGGAGCAGAAAGCAGAAGGGAAGAGGGAGCCTTGGAGACCAGCAACTCTCTACTTGTGAAATAAAAAGCCGCTGCTTCTGCAGAGTGTAAATTGCATGGCGATAAGGGGCTGCCGTGGCTCCCTAATAACAACGTTCCACAAATCACTGTCCCCTCTCTGTTAAATGCAGGCTTCCCTCTGCTTCCGATCTGGAGTTTTAAGTCTTTATGTTCAATTAGAACGGCTGGGGAAGCCTCCTTCCTGTGTTGACGCATCTCTCAAAATCACTGCCTTGTTACTGGGATGCCTCTGGGGCTCTGCAGAAAGAACCTGCATCATCTTCAGATTGCTGGGCCTTCCTGGCTCATGCTGGCACTTCGGATGTGATCATTGTGGGTGGGGAGCCTAGGACACTATGCTGTTGCAGTTGCTTGGTAGTGTCTGGCAGTGCTTTCTCAGGTGATGGAAGTGTCGGGTAACACAAGCTGCCCAACACAGTAGCCACCAGCAACTGCTGAACATGCAAAATGGGCACAATTTTTAATGTTAGTTCACTTATTATTCTTTAATTTAATCTGTGTGGATGTGTGAATGCACTTGTGGTGTGTGTGTGTGTGTGTGTGTGTGTGTGTGTGTGTGTAGGCCAAAGGTGATATAAAGTGTCTTCCTCTATAACTTCCCCAACTTATTTTTTAGATGGGGGTTCTCTCACTGACCCCAGAGCTGACCAATGAGCTAGACTGGCTGGTCAGTGAATCCCTGGGATCTTCCTGTCTGCCTTCTAGTGCTAGGACTAATGGTTCATAATGCCATGCTTGGCTTTTTATGTGGATGCCGGGGATCTGAACTTAGGTCTTCATACTTGACTAGCAAGCATTTTTCCCATCTTCTCAGCCTTATTACTATTACTATTTTTTCTTTTCAGGTAGGGTCTCATGCATCTCAGGTGGGCATCCAACTTAATACATAGTTGAACACAGCCTTGAATTCCTGATTTTCTTGTCTCTACTTTCAAATGCTGGGATTATAGACAATGGTCTACCACTCTTGGTTTAATTTTAGTTTAAATGAAGACGATCACCTGTGGTACTTGGATTCCTCAATATAGCCATCTCCACCAAGGATTGCTCTTGTCTGACTCCACCCTCTGCTCTACTGAGCACTGCCAGAGCCTGGCCCAAGCCTTCATAATGCCCCCAAGGAGGGGGTGCTGCAGGAATCACTTCACTGTAGTCACACTGGTTGCCTCCTTATGAGCCACAAGCACTGTGCTTAATAGTTGCATCGGGATGCAAACCTCTTACCTGGAGTGCAAAGCTCTGTCTTTCTCTGCTCGTTTTGTTCCCGTTTGCCCAAACTGACCACTTTCTGGCCACAGGTACCCTACTTTGGCCTCCTGGATGTGCTGAGCTCAGTTGTACTTCAGGACCTTTGCACATGGCATTCTCTCTGCTGAGGATGCTCCTCTCCTTTTGTGGGTTTATAATGAACTGCACCTTGCCTTTATGCTTACTGAGAACTAGCTCAGAATGCAGCAGAGCATCCAATCTTATGGATAGTTTTGAATTGTGTGTGTGTGTGTGTGTGTGTGCTCATGCATGCACAGGCACATGTGTGCACTTGGGAACTGTGTTTCTTCACACTAGAATGTGAAGATCGGGACCTTGAGATCAGGTCTGTCTGGGTCAAAGGTGAATGTTCAATGCCTAACAAAGGGCCTGGTACACAATGGGCATTTAAGCAATGCTTGCTGAGAGAGTGAAAACCTAGGATTCCCTGTAGCTTTGTGCTTCTTAAAGACATCTGAGGACCATGTAGCCTGAGGTATAACACAAAGCCCTCTGCACCTCATCATCACATTACTCCATCCCTAGGTAATGCCAACAGCAACTTCACTAAGGGAAAGAGCCAAGAGGCATGCTGATAATTTACAGAATGCACTGGGAACATTTGTTTGGCCCAAGGTATGTTTCTCCCACTCCTTATTTACACAAGGCGAGCTTTGGAAAAAAAAAATAGAGCAACATACAACTTTGGGTTTCTGATTGCCTTGAAAAAGCAGGTGATTTGGTAGTCAACTTCAAGTTGACACTCTGACCAGATTGGGCTAGAGTTGAACCAAGTAGTACAAGTGGTCTAGGCTGGTCTGCATAGCACCTCCTACAGGGCTCATACTGACTTGCAGGTATGTGGAGTTCAGGTGGTTTAGGTTGGCATGCACAGTGCCCCCTGCAGGGCTCATGCTGATTTGCATGTTCACGGAGCTCAGGTCTAGGTGGGTGTGCACAGCACCCGCTGTGGGGTGCATGCTGACTCACGAGTACTGTATTATTTACTGGCATCTGAGTTTCGGTTTTGTAGTAACATATTGGCATCTCAATCCCTGCATGGTGGATCGGAAGTGGTCTCTGTTTTCTTGTTCTCTTATGTTCGAATCTTCTATATCAAACATTTCTGCAAAGCACATGCATTACTTTATAATGAGAAAATGAATCAATAAGTACTGTTTTATGAAAGGTTGCACTGCAGCCTGGAAATGCACAGTATAGATGAAATGCCCAGATCAGATGAAAGGCTCTTGCTATTTCCCTAGATGCCCCACGGGTAGCAATTCATTCTCCTTTGCCTTTTTGGGATAAGGGTCCTTTGTCCTGATTTATTCCCAGCCTCCGATTCATAAATACATGGCTTTGCCCATGGCAAGGCACAACAGCTCCATCACAATAAAAAATGAAGGAGAAAAGCCAAAAGATTCTGGGCCTGAGGCTACTAGATGGCTTGCTTCATTCCAAAGCAAGTACCAGGAGAAAGTTTCAACAACCCTAAATAAATCGGGAGTGTCTTTTGGAATTTCCTATAAGATCATTTATCTCATAAGTTCTAGGAAGCTCATGATTAAGCTGGTCCGAGAGGACAGTTGCCTCCCAAGTTTGGGGCATGATGCTGTATACTGGGCAGACAATCTGTGGTTCCAGTGTTTACATTCTTCCCACAGACTGGTCAGGGGGAAAAGATACTCACTGACTTTGATACTAGGTGGTGCAGCCACATGAGATGGGCCTGTTGGAGGTGATGTCCCTCTGGCTTAGGGGAGGTTAGGAGTGGGGGTGTCAGGAGCCCTCCTAACCCCAGAGAGGAATTGTGAGATAGTGCAGTTGGTAAAATTGCTTGCCATGCAAGTGTGGAGACCCTAGTTTAGATCCCCAACACCCAAGTAAAAAGCTAGACCTATGGCATGCATGTGCCTGTATTGCCAGCACTGGGGAGGTAGAGACAGGAGGACCCCTGGGGTTTGTGGCCAGTCTTGCTGAATCAGTGAGCACCAAGTTCAATGAGAAATCCTATATCCCTTTGTTAGGCATGCGCGCGCGCACACGTATATAGTGGGCTGCAAAGGTGACTCAGCAGTAAGGGCTTACAATGCTCTTGAAGATGATGCTAGTTCAGTTCCCAGGACCCAGAATGGGTAGCTCAAAACAACCTATAATTCCAACTCCAGGACACCCAGTGTCTTCTTCTGGCCTCCATGCTCACATGCACACACCCCCATAACCCCATACCCCTATACCCACACAAAGGCACATGCACATATACATACTTTTAAAAGAAATGTAGGGGGAAGTGAGGTGAAGAGTGATAGAGGAGTGCACCTGACATTGGTCTCTGGCCTCCACAGTTACATGAACATGTACACATGCACACACCATAACACACACAAGCTTCTGACAGGGTGGGACTTGATGGCCTTAATGACTGGGAAAGGTAAACTTTCCCATGCAGTGGTAGTGGGGACAGTAAATAAAGAGCCACAATGAAACAGCAATGAGAGGGGCAGCTTAGTTACTATCTTAACCAGAACACTCACTGCTAGTCATTGTGATAGCTTAATAAGGGTCACTAGGTATAGTGGGAAATTACCAATAAGGAGCCAAGTGGAAATATAAGGGTATTTAATGGGGAAAAGCCTTCCTTACAGAGCACCCTAGCCAGCCGGCGTGGCAATGGTCTGTACGCAAGCCCAAAAGGTGAAACCGAAAGAGAGACCCAGTCCCCTTCAAGTCTTGTTCTACGTCACCCTGACCATGCCCTCGAAAGCGTGGTCAGGCACACCTGTAGCCAGCCCCTAAGTAGGCGTGGCTACAGCTTCCCCTACAACTAGGGCATCGAAATCCTGTGAAAGCTGCTGAAAACTCAGCATGTAAAATACTATTAAAATGAGGAGTATAACACACACTCATGAGGTGGCTTGTGAGCGCTTTCTTTTTTCATCTCACATAAGGAGAAACTGAGGACCTCAGGAGTACACACCTTGCCCAAGGTCAGATATTATTGTGCACACCTGTGATCTCAGAGGTAGTGGCTGAGGTGGAGGGTCACAGTGAGCTTAAGGTCAGCCCAGGTGACATAGTGAGATACTGTTTGAAAAAGAGAAAAACCAAGAAAGACAGGTGGGTGGGAAGGGAGGGAGGGAGGGAGGGAGGAAGGAAGGAAAGCAGAAAGGAAGGAAGGGAGGGAGGGAGAATATGATTAGGGTCACTATTACAGCTTGTGTTTAGAGAATACAAGTGAGGTAAGAAGCAGAGGGCTAGCATAGAGCAGAGGGACTCATGTGGTGATAGGGGAAGCAGGGAGCGGAGAGGCATGGCATTAGCACCTGGTACTGCAGAGACCCAGCTTAGCACCTGACTCACCTGCAGCTGTTCTCCCCATCAGTGTGTAGAGATGACTCGGCCCTTCGCAGGCCCAGGCGGATGAAGGAATGGTACAGGGTGAGTGCCACATCGCTGAGGCTGTGGATGCCATCTGGCTCATCGTAGACATTCTCCCAGTAGGAGCGGAGGCCTGGGGTGCCCGCAGGATAGTTCCCATACAGATAAGAATCCAGCTGCCCAATGATTTCCTGGTTCACTATGGCTTCAAACTTTCGGGCAAAGAAGGTGGGCCGGGCTGTCTGCTGTGCTCAGGAGAGATACAAGAAAAGGTTATCATCAAGCAATGTGGTGGTGGGGTGCCATCATCCTGCAAGAGATGAAAGGCACTGCAGTAAGCTGGCCAGGTTCAAACTCCAGCCCTGGGACTCCATGACCTGCCTTCAACATTCTCCCTTATAAAATGGGTCAGAATGAGAGTGGGAGGATGTTAGTATCCACAAGACATCAAAGCATGGTGGGCACTTAGGAATTGACACCCAAATGACCCTGAAACAAATTGAATCATGGGTGGTAAGTGCCAAGTTGGCTCTCAATGTTTCAGTGAAGGTCATAGATGAGCAATTTTAGTTGGCTGGGAGAATGCCTTAAAATCAGATTCACAAAGTGGAAGACTCATGGAAACAATTCTGGCTTCCCTTTAAATAGCAACTGTTGTGGGAAATTCAGGTCCCATTCTGAAGTGGCAATGGTAGGTTAAACCGGAATGGCAGCCCATCCCTTTAGACAGCACTGGGCTCTTCTTCCTGCCATTGTCCCCACAGTTCCTTAGTGTCCCCTGGCATCTTAGCAGATTGGCAGGCTTACCAGGGACACTCCAGGGATGACACTTCACATGCTCCAGAAGCTGGAGGCACGGCACCCTGCATTTGATAGGCTTTCCAAGTAACTCCAAAGGAAAACCCGGTCACTCACATATGGGACTCCACATTGTCTATGACCCTTCCTTTCTTCCATTCTAAAAGTATCCTTTGTCTCAATTAACCTCGAATTTCAGGACCACAGGTCTGCTAGATGAACATTTTACTATGACAACAAAAACTTCCCTTCAAGTAGCAGCTGTGTCTGATCACCAATAAGACTACATACAAGCTATCTCAGGGCACTGATCAGCCAGACTGTGGTTTGAGTAAGACATTCAGCTGGGCAAACTCAGCCCTTACCCTTTTCTCTTACTCAGCCAACAACTCTGGTAACTTTCAGAAATGTAAATCCGACATAAAATTCCCAACTGGTTATAACTACTGATCAGCCAGACTGTGGTTTGAGTAAGACATTCAGCCGGGCAAACTCAGCCCTTACCCTTTTCTCTTACTCAGCCAACAACTCTGTAACTTTCAGAAATGTAAATCCGACATAAAATTCCCAACTGGTTATAACGTTTCCCATGTAAACTGAGAACTCATGGAAATGGGTCCAGAGGGAGAAAGGGATTTATTCACAGATATATAGCAAATCAGTGACTGATACATGATGAAGACTTAGGGTTCAAAGCCTGAGACAGTGGGGCAGTGGCAGCTCAATTAGTGAAGTGTTTGCTACACCAATCATGAGGACCTGAGTTGGATTTCTGGACCCATGTAAAAATGTTGGCCACAGTGATGTGTGCCTGTAATGCCAGGGCTGGAGAGGTAGAGAATGGCAGATCCTTATGCCTTCACTAGGGAATTCTGGGTTCGGTGAGAGACTCTTCTTCATGAAGAGTATTGTGAAAATACCCTCTTGGGAGACTTAAATATCCATTCCCTCTTGATAAGGTCTAAATGACAAAGTTCAGTTAAACCAGTGATCACCCCAGGGAACCAATGAGTGTATTAGGCTTACTTATAAGCATGGGTGGGGGTTACAGGCAGGAGTATGGGTGACTACATAGCACCTGGAAGGTCGGCACCCAGAAGAGATGATGGCCCCATAGCAACACAGATAAGTCCTCTTCATGTTAAACTACCCCAGCCTATATTCCTTATCGTCTCCTGAGAACTCCAGAGCCATATGCAATTGGGACAGAACAGTCAGCAAGATACTCAGGTGAGAGTTCAATGACCCTGCTGACCCCTCCTATGCAGGAATGTCCACAGTCCAAAGACCACATCTTGATGGACTTTTGCAAGTAGATATAGCTGATCTCATAAAGATGGAGGCTCCTTTGCCTAGAGGACTGAGTTCTACAGTAGTGTCCAGAGAAACAACACCTGAAGCTGGTCTCTGCACACATAGACATACACACACAAATACACACACACACACACACACACACACACACACACACACACACACACACTCATGCACTCATTGTGCACATAAAGAAAAAAAATACAAAGCACTTGAAATCTGTAAGTATTATACTGTTTGAAAGCAGAGCTTCACAAACATCTTCAGCAGAGGACTAAACAGCAGATATGAAAAGCTTTGAAACTTTTCAATGCTTAAGCATTGAAATACCCCAAGACAAAATGATAAGTGAGCGGTGGTAGCTGTGTCCCAACAGAACTGTATTATAAGGGTAAACTCCTGGCCAGGGAGTTGTACTGTGCTGACCCTTGGTCCAGGACTGTACACAGACCTAAAACACAGCCCTGTCCCATGAGGAGTTGACTAGGGCCAACTGTTGCTGTGGATTGAGCACAGTGTGCCCTTCAGAGGACTAATGACACTGATGACTCTGGGAATATTATACAAAGGGCATCACAAGTCTTGATCTCAGCCTCTGAGAACTCAGCCAGGCAGGGTCATAACTCCCATTCTACAGATGAGGACACGAATCCAAGAGCAGGAGCTAATACTCTGGAAATGCTCACTGCCCCAGTACTCACACCAAATCCCACAGCTTCAACCCCTAAGCACTTTTTATCACATCCCTATAGGATGGACTGGTGAGTGAGCAGGAAGCCCCTAAGAAAGAAACATCCCAGGCATGGTGCCCAACATCTCATCACCTTCATTCACTTTCTGAGTCCTGGCACCTCTGTACTGGAGAGGGGTTGGATAGCACTATGGAGTCAGTTTACTTGAGTTCATGCTCTCTGCTACTTCCTAGGTGTGCATGTCTTTAGGCCTATCACCCAACTGCTCCAACCTCAATTTTCCTGTCTTTGAAGAGGGTACAGAAGCATGAGTTACTAGCACATGTTATTAGTTGCTGTTAAGTGATCACCACTGTAACTTTATTTGGCTACTAGGTTCCCTATTGACCTACAGGTTGCCATTACCTAGGGACAATAATCAATCTCACTGGCAAGATGGCTTCCATCTCTACCTGCTATTCTGCTATTCTTTGACTACAGATTGATCTTTTAGAAAGGTACACTTCTTTTTTAAGACTGTGTGTGTTTCTGAATGTATATGAGTTCCCAAAGAGGCCAAAAGAGGGTGCTGGATACCATGAAGCTGAAGTTACAGGCAGATGTGAGCCATTTAACATGGTGCTAGAAACTGAACTTGGGTCCTCTAGAAGAGTAGGAAGACTCTCAACCACTGAGCCATCTCTCTAGCCCCAAGGGTATGAGTCTATTTTTTTTTTATTATTCTCTTCCTCAGAATTCATTAGAAAAGAACTCTCTGCTTCTAACAGACAGCAGAATCTAGATGTTGAAGGATAGCCTTGTCTTTACTTATTGCAAAAGAGTTGTGTGACACAGTTGAGTCTCTAACTTTGCTCGATTCATCGGAGACCATGATGTCTCCAGGATGTTGTGGTTGTTGTACAGACGCTACCCCTAGAAACAGCCTAAGGTAATGACACTCCTAGGAATCAGCATGGTTTTCTATCCAGGATGTTGTGGTTGTTGTACAGATGCTACCCCTAGAAACAGCCTAAGGTAATGACACTCCTAGGAATCAGCATGCCAAGGCTCTGGGCTGATGTCTCTAAATGCTGAAGTTCTGCAGCAAGGGCAGGGATCATTCTAGACAAAGGCATGGCTACTCTTCTTTGGGCAGATAAGGCATTGCCCCTGCAGCCTTCTTGCTCTGCACATCCTTTCTGCACGGACAGTGAGTGGAGAGTCCCAAATCACCCAAGTTTATGCTTAAGTCAACATGAGACTGGGGGTTCCCTGGAAGTTCTCAGTGCATCATCAAATATAGGCAGCTAACGATGCTAAGTAGGGATGTTGGGGAATAATAAATAACTACAGGAAAATGGCTGTTTTTTCTGTGTCCGCAGAGGCACAGAACCAGTGGGGACTAATGGTAAAAGTCCCACATACCTACCTTTCCTTAGCCCTACCAAATTCATTAGTTACATGGCCACAAAAATAATTTTAATCTCTCCATGCTTCAGTATCACCACCTACAAAGCAGGTGACACTCATCCCAGCAAAGCCAATGCACACAGAATCTTGCACACAGCTGTTAAAGAGTATATCCAACATGGCAGTATCCTAATCACATGGTGATCTTCTACATGGTCCCTGTTTGGTCCTGACTTTTAGCTGTGCAAGAGGCTGAGGTTCTGCATCCTGGACAAGCCTCCTGATGATGAGATGCTGAGTATGGCTATGCTCCAAGGGATTAGATAAAGAGACCTGAAGCTCCAAAGGCAATTCTGACCATGCACCACCACAGCAAGGATGCCTCCTGGTGTCATCAGCTTGCACTGCTGTGCCTGCCATCCTTCTGAGAAGCAGAATGTCATCTCTATGTGATGACTATAGGGACCCCACCTGATCTGTCTTAACATTTTATGGGCTTTTCTTTGTGTTCCACTAGAAAGAGAAGAGGAAGAAACCCAGAGCTCACTCCTCCCAGGCACCACACTGTCCAGGGGGAGCATACAGAGTGAGAAGAGATTCCATCTAGAGTAGGACCTGGGGCCAAGGCTTGCGACAAGCAGGTGAGCATTCCCTTTTCTCCTATCTCCACACTGCTTAGCACTGTACAGAGACAGCTGTAAAGGTAATGATCTTTCCATCTCTTGTTACTCCTTCAAGTTTATGGAACATGGTCCCTCCCAACCTGGGTGCTCCTCAGGTTTTTCCAAAGTGTAATATAACAATATTCCAGTCTTCACTGGAGACTAGAGGTTCTCAACAAGGGGCAAGTTTAAACTTAGGGCACACTTTGGAACATTGTAAGACACATTTGGTCATGACAGTTGAAGAGTACAACTGCATCTGTGGGTAGAGACCACAGAGAATGGTCCCCAACAACACTGTGACCCAGTCACAATGACAAGAGTGCTGGGGTAAACAAACAAACAAACAAACAAACAAACAAAAGCCCCTGTTCCCAATATAGTCAAGCATATACCTAGAAAAATTGTTTCAACAAATATTCCAGGTTATTGTGACTGAGAGGCAATACAGCAAAGATGATGGGAATGACCTTGGAAATTGATGCTTTGGATTACATTATTTTTTATTTCATGTATTTCATCCATGAGTCAGCCCCTGCCCATGTGTGTATGTGTGTAGTGTGGTGTTTGTCCGTATGTACATGTGTGCAGGTGCAAACACCTGTGCTTGTGTGTATGGAGCTTGGAAGAGGATGTCGAGTATCCCCCCACTAGGGCTCTCTGCCTTGAGATGGGTGTTTCACTGAACCCAGAGCTTACCATTTTCAACTAGCCTGCTGGCCACTACACCTTATGGATTTTCCTGTCTCCCATTCCTCAGCACTGGGGTTAAAGACATAGCCATTCCAGGCTTCTACTGTGGGTACTGTGTAGCACTCACTCTTCTTCACTGAGCCATTTCTCTCATGTGTGGTCAGGTCTCTGAGCATTTGTACCCCAGTTTCTTTATCTCTAAGATGGAAGGATCATAATAGCAGCAATACACACATTTCCGGGCTATTGGGAGGTTAATGAGTCAACCTGGGGAGGATAGTTCAGCCACTCAGCATGGGCCAAAGCTTGCTAACTGCTGGTTATAGTCAGGCTGGGCAGTGAGGATAAGATGGTTCATAGGTCTGTCTTTAAAGGCTTGCAGTAGCTTCCTAGGAAGGTGTGGTGGGACAAGTGAACTCACCTGGAAGCGATGGAAGTCCTGAGGCTTGAAATCATTGGGAGAGCAGCCACACCAGTCCACAATGTGCTTGTATTGGCACTTGCAGCCCAACTTGCGGTTCCAATTGGTGATGCGCAGGTTGTTATCTACCATGGTGTCACAGTGGGGGCTGTTCTCCAGGACTGTGTGGAAAAAGGACTGCAGAGGAGAAAGAGTCAAGCCTGAGAACCCAGTAACACACAACCAAGTGTGTCAGATTGGCATGTCCCTCCTGAGTACCATCACGTGCAAAGGGCTCTCCAGGACACCACTATCAAGTCCATCTCAGGGTGTAAATGTCTGTTTAGTATTCACTGGTTAATTCTACCTACAAGTCTATTGCTTTGAACATTCCTTCCTTAGTGCCTAGAATTTCATATGAAATATCTGTCTCATCACCTAGGACATCTGCTGTGTGTTTAACAGATAGGAAGAGTTTTTCAGGATGTATCAACAAATGGGGACCAGAAGCAAACATGGCAGACAGCTTCCTAAGAAACTACAGGTTGCAAGGGCTCTTGTTTGAAAGAGCCAGATTGGAAACCAACAGGTTTCAGAAAGACCAGACTCATGGATCCACCAATACACTGTGACTATAGTGCAGGGAAGGTAGGGTTGCTCAATGTCCATGGTGACAAAACAGGGACTCATTACAACACAAGAAAAGGTGAGTGGGAGCGATGCTGCTGTTGGCAGTGCTGAACCAGGAGCCAATGCACTACAATAGTGTGGCTAGAACAGGGAATTAAGTATGTGCTTGCTGTCCATGGTACTTAATCAGAAGCCACCGAGCTCACAGTGGGTAGAGGGGTTGTTTTCTGTCCATGTGTTGAAGGACACACACAGTGTGGCCATAACCCAAGTAAAGGTGGGCTGCATGCTTTCTGTGGTAATGCACAGGACCTATAGTCCTTTCCTAATTCTAGGACTCTTCGCCAGTTCTTTCAAGGACTCTGAGAAAGAGGTAATATTAGGAGGAAAAGAGAGGCAGAGAGGAGACACAATGAGATACTGAAAGAGAAGGAAAAGAGAGATTTCTATTTCAACACTATTTCATAACAAGCTCTGCAAACTGGAGAATATGCCTCCTCCTGGACCCTGGTCCCCAGGGGAAGCTGTTGGTGGATATGTGTCTGACTGTTGCAAATTTATGGACACAGCCTTTAGATTTCTTCTAGGCCCTGGAGCTGTCTAGGAAAGAAAAGCAGGCAGACAAAGCACAATGGAGGAAATGGCCTGACAGAGCCCCTGGGGATGTGTTTTAGTGCTGAGGCAGGGGTGAGAATTAAGTATACTCAGAGCTATGGGTACCAATGGTGGGGTTGGCATGTTGCTGAGAACAACCAAACTCCCAGAGAATCTCTTCTAAATAGGTAGATGGGCAAAATGAAGCTCCACCTGCCACTCAACTCCACTCACTTGTCTTCCTGTGATGCTAATGACATTGGCAGGGGACCTGGATTTAAACTTGAATTGTCTACAAGCCCACAGAGGCACCTCTCTTCCATCAAGCAGTGGGGAAAAGTACCCAATTACCAATTGCCCTGTGTCCTTTATAACGATGCAGAAATTTCCTGCAAGATAATGGATGAGGAGGTTATCAGAATGGAGAGAAAAGGTGATTTTCGCTGAAATAGGATTAAAAGCTGATGACTTAACATGTGCACAGAATAGTAAAACCTGGCTCAGAGAAGCTGAGCTTTTCCTCACACTGAGGCGTGTGGACTGCCAGCCCTCTTGGGAACTGACCCCTGACCTGATAATACATGGGAACCATCCATAGAGATTCATGGTCTGTTCCAGGCTGTGTGATCAGAGCTTGAGGCCCACCGGGGGAAACAGAGAACCACACATGAACAATGCCACAGGATCCATGGAAACAGAACAAGCACTGGGGTTTTCTGAGGCTAGATGTCAGGATAAAATTGGCTTGAGGTCAGGGAGATGAAACTAGAAGTTCCCATCTCAGAACTGATAAGGCAGTTTCCAGCATGTGACAGGCAACATATCAGGATATGCCTGGCTATTTTAGAATGGTCTGGAGCCTCATGCAATAGAGACTGCACCTTGATGTTACAAAAGGTCTGGGGCATGTTCAATATGCTCCCTGGGAAGGGTTGAGCCATGAACATTTGGCCATGATGGCTGACAATGGAGAGGGCCAGCGAAAATGATCCCATTTAGTTTTCTCAGGGCAATTTTGGATCAAGTGTGTGTGTGTGTGTGTGTGTGTGTGTGTGTGTGTGTGTGTAATGAAGACAGCACTATCTGGGAATGACAGAACTGTATTCAAATGAGAAAAGGGATTACTGGTGCTGAAAATGGTTATTACTTTACTGCATGATTGATGACTGGAGGATGTGTTAAGAGTTGATGTGGCTGTGGCTATGTCCTGGAACTGTTAGTATGCACTGCACAATTCCAAAGAGTGTCGTCAACAATCAGAGGGCTTGCAGTTGTAACACTTTTTTTTTTGCTGAAAAATAGCAGTAACATCTTTTTCTAGAAAAGTCAGAATATTGGATTTTTTCTATGGTAAAAAGGGGTTGAGTGCCTTGAATAGGGCTGCTTTCTGTACTTTACATGCAGAGACCACGCAGGCTGTGGTAGCATCCCTGACAGTATATGTGCACCACAGTTCTTGCTATGAGGTCAGATCTGCAGGGACCAGTGTGGTTCTTCAGCATTGTCTGGTGGTCTGTGAGACAGTCCGTGGAGCCAGAAATACACTGTCAAATATTCACTCTCTGCTAAGGCTATGCCTAGCCCCTCTCCCCATTCTCTGCCCTGGAATCTTTCCTGAAACTCACTTCAGCAGGAAGGAGGGTATAAGAGTAAAACTGCTTCATCTTGGTCACCAGGTCATCTGTGGAGAATGCCACATACTCCACAAACTTCCGGTTAAGCAGGAACCAATCAGAGCCACCGTCCACAGCAATGCCCTCTGGGATCCTCCGGTCCCCCAGGCGCCACATATGTGCATCACACTCCAGGAAAAGACGATCCAGGCCCTGTTTCCGAATGAACCTGTGCAAAACAAGTTGACCTTGAGTACCTGGGTAACAAAGATCTTCGAGAGCCCCAAAACACCATCATGGCAGTCAAGGCATTTACTGAGCACTTTCTGTGTGCTCATAGGAGCCAGGATTTCATGTGGAGCTTATTCTTCCAGAGCAAGCCAGGGCATAGCATATATGGGGCAAGGATGGCCATTGCCCTCTTGGATAGAAGAACCACTGGAGGCCAGAGAGCCTAGTGCAACTACCCAGCAGCTCACCCAGATGTGAGCAAATTCAGTCTCACCTCTATTTTTTCTAGAAATCTCTTCCAGCAGCCTTTTAGTGGTTGCTGTGGCAGTTTGATGAATACAGCTCATGGGCCCTCATCTTACAACTCTCTCTCTCTCTCTCTCTCTCTCTCTCTCTCTCTCTCTCTCTCTCTCTCTCACCTCTACCCTATT